TGCAATCTCTCAGCGACGAGTAAACTCGCTGTCCCTAGGGTGCCAGTTGAAAAACGATTATACATAGAATTTATTTACGGATCAGGGCTCGTTGTGCACGCTGTTATCAGCGTCTGCGTATTAATATTTTTTTTTTATTTTTTTTTTTATAAACTTATAGTTATTTAACCGAACATCCTGCGCGCACAAAGGCTTGGGAAATTGTGAAGTCAAAGGGGGGACACGTGTACACGTACGTAAATGGAAAGATGGGAGACGACGGTATCAAAGCAAACCGTGTTCGAAACTATTAGTTGAATATTCATAAAGCGCTTGGAAAATCCGAACAACAAGTTGAAGAACACGAGCGAGCGATGGAAAATCGAATGTGTCGTGCTAGGAAATTAGAAATGGGGTTGCAAGCTGATAAGGAGATATGAATATTGATGAGTGTTGGAGTTAATAGAAAATAGAACTATTAGAAATGATAGAAAATAGAAACCCTGAAAATAATAGAAAATAAAAATATTAGAAATAATAGAAAATAGAAACCCTGAAAATAATAGAAAATAAAAATATTAGAAATAATAGAAAATAGAAACCCTGGAAATAATAGAAAATAGAAATAAAAAGAAACTATATATGTACATACACAAAATAGATAAATATGCAAATAATTTGTCAAGTTCCGCTCAGCTATCGCACGCAACGTAAAACCTGCCTATAATCACGCACCCCCATTGCAATTATAATAACCCTAATTATAATAATTAAAATCGCCGAAACTCTCCGAAACTCATAAATTCCGCTAACTCAGTTCAGAGAGAGGGAGGGAGAGAGAGAGAGAGAGAGAGAGAGAGAGAGAGAGACATTTCCCAACCGCAATAGACGTCAACAAGAACAAAAGCGATCGTCGAAGAGCCGTAAAAAGTGTACCGCGTCAACGGATCCGCGTCGAAGGGTTGAGAACTCCACGTATGTACATGCATACACCCGCACGTATTCTATTGTGACTCCTATTCTAAAATACGATCTCGCCGTAGCAACCCATATGGGGGCCACCCTTTTTTGTTGCGCCGCTAGGCGGTCCTCCGAAGTGGCCGAAGGGTCCGTCACGGACTTCGAGGACCGTTTTACGAGGAGAGATTGCCGGCGACCCGTATATTTACGTTCGAAGTGGCTGCCACTCGATCCCGAAATAAGTCGTCGCCGCGATCCGCGCGGCCTGCCTGGCAGCACCCTCCGCAGCACCCTCCGCCGATCCGAGCACCCCGATTCTCGCGAGCGTTAAACCGTCGCGTCGCCGCCGCCGGATTTAAGTGGCCGATGGGAGCGCGGCACGCGCCCCAAAATACAGGGTGTCCCTAAAATGTCTCGCGATCCGAAAGCGCCGGATTGCTCGAGTCGTCCGAAGCAACTTTTTCCTTTACAAAAATGTTCTCCGAGCCACCGTTAACGAGTTATCAACGAAAAACAGTGACCAATGAGAGGCGAACTCGGCTGGCGCGCGGCGACCGAGCCAATGAGCGGAACTGGGCTTCGCGCGCCGGTTGGCTGGGCCGCCGCGCGTCGGCCGTACTCGATTCTTATTGGCCGCTGCTTTTTCGTTGATAACTCGTTAACGAAGCCTCGGAGAAAATTTTCGCAAAAGAAAAAGTTGCTTCAAATCACCTCAGGAACCTCTCATTTCCGGATTGCGAGACATTTTTGGGACACCGTGTAGAGCGACCGGGTATAAAAAAAAGCAACAGCAGGAGAAAGAAAAACTGTGTGCATCGTCCGATTATCGAGAGCGGGAACGCGTGTCCTCCGGCGATAACGAACGATTACGAGCGACCGGCGAGGGTTCCCGCGTACGTCTCCGGATAACGGCGGCCATTTCGGTTTCTCAGAGGATCGCTAATTTATTAGATACGCCGCGGAGAACGTTTTAGCGGGATCGAGTGTGAGTGTATATTATCTCTTCTCGGATGGCTCGTGGAGGGTTGGGATAAGGGTGAGTTGTTTTAAGATGCAGGCGGCAGGAAATAGCTTAACTGGTTTGAGTGCCGAAAATCGAGCAGAAGAATGTCCCCGCGCGAGGTCGGGATTGATTAAAATTAATGAAACGGGAGAGTTGAGTGGAGAATGCGATAATAACATTTTAGAATTATAAATAATACTTTGGTTGTTTAATGGTAATTATTACGTTATTGTTGAATGAATGGATTATTATTAATTGTCACCGTTATGGATTATAATAATTATTAATTATAACTATTATCAATTCTAATCATTATCAATTGCAGTTATTATCAATTATAATCATTATCAATTGCCATTATTATCAATTATAATCATTATCAATTGCAATTATTATCAATTATAATCATTATCAATTGCCATTATTATCAATTATAATCATTATCAATTGCAATTATTATCAATTATCATTACAAATTATAATTGTTATCAATTCTAATCACTACAATTATAATTGACATTGGTTGTAATCATTATTAAATGTAACTAATATCAATTATAATCATTATCAATGACAATTATTATCGATCATAATCATTATTGTTTACAATCATTATCAATTTCATTGTAAATTGTTATTGTGAAAATGTAATTGTACATTGCAAATTATAATTGTGAAAACGTAACTGTACATTGTAAATTATAATTGTAAAACGTAATTGTACATTCTAAATTATAATTACCATTAAATTAGCAAATCTCAATCGAAACAGTTCCCCGCAAGGAACGAAACAATGGGTTTCCCCGTTCGAATTCGCTGGGCCGTAATGGGCCCAGTGTATTTACGTCAGGTATCCGTTCGTAATTCATGCCGAAATTAAAATAATGACTCCGCGCGGCATAGGCGCTGAGGCGAGCAACGAACGCTTACGCACTTCCTGCGCCGAAGCGTAAGCTGGAAGTACCGTCGAAGAATAGTAAATATTGAAGAGCGGCGGCGGTTCTTTCGCACGGAGAGAAAAGAGAAGGCCGCACGTGCCGATCCCCTCCTCGAGATAAATAATAATTGGCCCCCTCCTCCTTTGGGCGTACAATTAAAACACTTCGCCACGAGTGTTGCCGAAGTTCCGTTATTAAAGTGAACACACGTAAGTAAGGGTTTCGCGTATCTCTTTGGCATCGAATGAAACACGATTTTCGAATCGCCGATAAAGGGGCACGTGAGCGGAATGAACGATTGGAAACAGGAGTTTCGTGCGTTAACCCTTCTGAGTTAAAATTAATTTCGTCATTTAGGCATTCTTGTTCGTTCGTTATTATACCATTAATTGAGTAGACGATTTTTTTTCTATATCAGCAATTTCGTGGTAAATATTAATAACGTTTGCAGATAGAAACGTAATTTGTAATCTGTAATGGGACTTTTTTATCATTGATAGTAATTATAATTGGCAATGATAATGATTATAATTGATAATAACTATAATTGGCAATGATAATGATTATAATTGATGACAAATATAATTGATAATAATTAAAATCGATGACAAGTATAATTGATAATAATTATAATTGATAACAATTCTAATTGATAATAATTGTAATTGATGACAATTCTAATTCATAATAATTGTAACTGATGTCAATTCTAATTGATAATAATTGTAATTGATGACAGTTCTAATTGATAATAATTGTAACTGATGTCAATTTTAATTGATAATAATTGTAATTGATGACAATTCTAATTCATAATAATTGTAACTGATGTCAATTCTAATTGATGTCAGTTCTAATTGATAATAATTATAATTGATGTCAATTACAATTGATAATAATTATAAGTGATATCAATTACAATTGATAATAATTATAATTGATGTCAATTACAATTGATAATAATTATAATTGATGTCAATTACAATTGATATAATGATAAATAACACAAAATTGCACAGTACATGAATAATGATTGTATATAATAATTAAACACAATGGCAGCACAATAGCTAAAGTTACTCGAGGAAATAAATAAATATAATTACACAGAAAAGAAAAGAAAATTGTCCCCGGATATAAATTTAAGAACGTTATCAATGCGTACGCGTGGATCAATTAAAAAGTGTGTGAACGCAGCGCGTTATAACAAGTTTTTAATGCGGCCAGTTTTCGCGGGCCTGCGAATCGCGCGACGACGAAGGCCGCAACGCCTTTATCGGTATTGCAGTCGCTAGGCCTCCGACTGAAAACAGGAAACGGAAACAGCGACGTGCTTTCGAGGAGATATCACGAAACGACGATCGGCTCTTGAAAGGTTTTCTGGGTCACGGTGCTGGCTCCGTCGCATCGAGCGCCATGCTCGATTCATCCACCCCTTTCGCCCTCCCCCTTTTTCACCTGCGGAACGACTTTCCTTCTTGTCGAGCATCTATTTCCGACATGTCGCGAAACATATATACGTTTGTTCAGAGTGTATTTATTTTGTATATTTTTATTTATCTATATTTTATTTTATTTTTCTCGTTTATATGGATATGATATTATTATGTGTACATAATATAGTATTGTAATAATAATAATAATAATTATTATTATTATATAGAATATTATATAATATTATAATAGTAATTATTACATACAATATTATATATTATATATAATATAATATTATAATAATAATTGTATATGATATTATATAATATAATAATTATTATTATTATATAGAATATTATATAATATATATTATAATAACAATTACATATAATATTATAACAATAATTATTATATATAATATTGTAACTATTTAAATTAGCAATTCAATATTCTCGTAATTTTAGCCAGTTAATAAAAGCGCGTCTCGATTCAACAATGTACACCGATTTATGCCCGAATTGTCCCGAATCCACCAACAGCCGCAAATTCTCGTTGGATCGGTCGTGCAACGACCGCGGGCAATGACAACCATCTCCGTTTACCCGTTGCGAATAAAACATTAAATTGCGCATTAAACAGAGCCACTCTTCTCTCGATATAACGCATAAATTCGAAATATTACTTACGTTCGTGTAGAAGTCCACCTCCTTGTACGGATTCACAGCCACCAATATGGATCCCGTGTACGTCTGCGGGTCGTGTATAATTCTGTGTTAAGGAAATATGTGTATGTCGAGTACGCGGATAATCGCGGAAATCGTTGTTCTATTCCAACGCGAACACCTTCTTTCGATCGCCAGTTGTGTGGTAATTTCTCAAAAAATCATTCTCGCTCATGTTGCGCTGAAAAATGCACGATTTTTGGAAGTGGAGAAGCGACGAGAACTTTTTGTAGTT